ATTGTAGATTCTGTAATATATATTTTTGTGTGAATGTGAAAAATGTGCTCACCATATGTTAGCATTTTGCATGTGTAATTTGTGAATTTAGTATTTGTGCTCTTTATCCTGCAACTTAGCAATATACAGCACTGATTAAAAAAAAAAAAAAAAAAAAGAAGCCCATAGCTTTAATGGCCTGTTATGAAAATTTAATTGGATTTTTTTCATTATTAGCTGTAGATCCTGCAGCCCAAACCTCAAGAATAATGCATTAAGTCAGTGAGAGTAGGTTATGTACAGAACAGTTACACTCTCAAGCTGTTCCTTAATGTGTGTAAAAGAAACAACTTCTGTCTTAGAAATTTCATTATCAAAAAAATAATCTCTAAAAATTATGCTTAACACATATGGATGGAGTAATTTGTATATTTTACCTTACATTTTGTTGCTGCACAAGATAGAATTTTGTTGGTGATATTTGATTTCTTTGTCTTTACTGAGTGTACCTGTCTTACTGTAATTTGTTTATTCATTTTAAAAATGCTCTAGTTTTAAACAAACTTGTTATTCAGAAAAGTAGTGATAGTGTCTATCTCTGTATAGAAAGATTGCTTAGAATTTATTTTTCAGTTGTGCAGCTGAATTTGACCTGTGGTTATAGTAACATAAAAAAGATGATGTCTTTTTCACTGAATTATGTTTAGCTGGAATAAACAAAGCAGGGAAAAGCAAAGCAAGTACAAGTTCATGTGGAGATGGATGGCACAGCCCAGTTCCAGAACTGAAGTCCTTTGTGCTGTAGCTACATTCAATTCTGTGCATATTGAAAACCAATTTTTAAAATTCCAGGAAAAATGTCCTTTTTATTTTGTTCCTACGCTTCTCAGTTTTTTCTGTTGATATTTCCCTACGCACTCAACTTCATTCCTTACTGGATCCTCTTGCCTTTTCATAGACTGTGATCACTGACTGATGTTCCTTCCCATACGGGTACTGCTGAGGCTTTCTTGCACTTTCTTTCACTGCTTTTTTTTCAACTTTTTAAAATTTCATGTTTTGTTTTGAAATTTTGTCATGCAGTTTTTGTGTTTCCTGTAACAATCCCTGAAGGCTGCTTCAGAAGAAAAAGTAAAATCTATTACTGTTTTTACTAGAAGCTTTATTTTTGTAGTAGGGCAAGGGTAGAATGCAAAGTAACACTGTTAGTTCATCCCTAACTTACCCTTTTTAGTGAGAATGTGCCTGCACTTAAGTAATTTCTTCTTTCTTAAGACACCTGTAATACTCAGACAGAGTTTGATTAATTGATGCAGATGAAAAAAGTCTGATCTGCACAGATTTTGGTACTTTATTGTAGCATAGGAGGGTGTATGTATGAGTTTTTAAGAAGCCTGAAGTTTTCAGTGTTCTTTATTGCTCGAGGATCCTTTACTTTTTGATCTTCTGCTACATAAAAGTCAGATTTAATGGGTTTTATCACTTTTGAAGTAACAGTACTGCTTTTTGGCATGACAAAATAATCTTAAAAGACAATTTATGCATGTAGGCAGCTCAGGCTGATGTTTGAAATCTTAAATATGGTTTGGATGAGGGTATACTATGCAACTGTTATAAATATAGAAGTTCACAAACTATACTGTGATTACTGACTAGGCTTACTAACATAAGTTAGAATCACAAAGTGGAATGCAAATATATACATGAAAGCTGATGGTGGGGAGTATGTACAGGGGATAAAGAGAATGAAGCTTTGTTTTTGAGCTCTGCCAACTGACAAGAAATTGAAACACAGCAGAGAGGAGAAAGAACAGGGATTTGGAGCCACTGCTGGTATACTTGTGTCTGAGGCTGGCAAACATCAGATATGCAGCTGGAAGGAGTAATCCCAACTCCTTCTCCCTGTAGCGTTGTGGCTCTGTTTATGCCACTTTCTGTATTTATGAAGTCATGCAGTGAATGGCTTTTGAGGTCTGGTCTGGACTGAAAATGAACCACTCCCACACAAAATAAGAAAAGTTGACAATGCTTGGATCACAGGATAACTGTGAATTCTTGATCCTGTCTGCACAAGTGTCAGACTGCAGTAGGGCAGGGAAGAGCATTCTGGAGCACAGGGGCTCAGAACTGCTCTCAGCTGCTGTATTGTTGAAAGCATGAATGCAGTGACATGCTCAACTCATTTCAAACACAATAGTTAGCAAAGATGTCACTTCAGAAACTTTTGAAGGAAAAGGTACATGGTGGGACAAATTGTTAAAAGCTCTCAAAAAATATATGTCAAAGTTGAAAAATAGAGTTTTGTTTTTCAGATTGGGTACAAATCTTGCATGTTTTTGAATATGCTATTATTTTTAAGATATCTCTATGTTTTGCAGGAAATTTTATGTGAAAACTTGTAGCTATTTTTATGAATTGCATTAAAGGGAGTACAAAGTTGTGGAACGTCCTTTTGAATGAATTGAGAATCTCTCTTAGATAGGGAATCTTGGCCAAGAAAGTAATAATCTTCTTAGCCTTATTTTTGTTACACCTATTCATTACATGAGATGAAAGGAGACTTGGGATCTGTGTTTCATATTAGAACTGTCAAATACATCCCATCATGAGTCAGTGACTGTCTTTCATTGAACAGGGCAGCATGACTCTGGGAATAAATGATCTTGCAGCAGACAGCTTTGTCTGAAGTCCACTTTCCTCATTATGAAAAGTTTTTAGCAGCTGAAGTCTATATTGATTTGCTCTATGTCTGGTGCTGGTATAGCAGGTGTGCCACAGCATTCTGGACACTGAATTTGACACAGCTCTAAATTCAAAGTGTAAGTTTTGAACTTCCTCTGTAGCATTTATCTGAAGTTGACACCATTTCCAGAAAGATGCAGGAGCAAGATCTCCCCAGTGGCATTTAGTGCTTTGTATTTTTCATGGATGTGAAGAGCTGAGGTTATCTGATCATAAACCATGGCATTGGGGTATTGCTCAGATCTTTCACTTTTTAAAATAAGGTTTAAAAGATTACAGGAATTGAAAAAAAAAAATAAATAAATCACTGAAATAGTTAAAGCAGCTTTGCTAATTAAATTGTATGCTAACTAGAAATAAACCCCACAACTATTATAAAGGTGCGCAAACCATATGCGGCTTAGGCTATGACTTGTCTCTGTGAGTTGCCATAGATAATTATTTCCAGTGCTGCCTTTGAGTATATGGGAAATGGTATAATTTACACTCCCAGTTTTTTTTGTAAGCCTTTGTACAAATGATCCTGGCTAGAGGGCAATCTGGAGTCCCAGGCTCACAGAGACATCATTCTGCCTTCATCACTGTATATGGCCAGCATTCATTCATCTGCATCTCATCTGGTAAAGTTTATTGTGGTTTTTTAATTGGCTCTTATTTCTCCTCTTCCAACTGCTGCTCTCGTCACCGTCAGCATGTAAGCAGAGTACTAGATAAACCTTGGGGGGGTAACAGTAAAAATACATAGATTTAAATATGTAACTACTAAGATAATATTAAAAATTTAAACATTCTTCAAGGTCTTAAGCAGGAAGAAAATACTCTGTTGGAATGATTCTATGTGTAAGCAGTGGAGAGTAATTCTGCAAGTAATGCTGCTATCTGTCTTTATTCAGGAAACTGCCAACATCATAGCCAAAATTTAAATAAAAATAGCAAATGCATATTTGCATTAGGAATTTTTTTGTGGATTTGTCTGGCTTGGCGGGGTTTTTTGGTGGTTGTTTGGTTGTTTTGTTGGGTTTTTTTGTTTGTTTTTTTGGGGGGGGGGTTTAAGTAACATGGTATTTGGATCCCACTCTGATAATGGGCTTCCAGGACTGATTGAGTATGCCTGAACGGTATATCTTGAATCTTATATTCTTTATATGAAAAGCCATGAAAGTTTCTTGTAAGTGTCATACTTTCTGCTGATTGAGTATAGAAAGCTGGGATCTGGTAATCTGGTATTTTTAAACTCATGGTACTCCCATGTGATGCTAATTACTTTTTTCAATACTAATTCTAATTGAATTGTACCTAGTGACCTGGAGAAGTAGGGTATTGTATCCCATTGTTAGACATTTAAATAACCTGCATAATGGGAATGGAGAAAGCACAGAAATACCCGAGAAGAATTAAATCAATGACAGTTCAAATGAACAGGCTAGATAAAAATGTGTGTAGAGTTAAATTTTGGCTTAAAAAGAGTCTTTGTCTTTGAGGAAGCAGAGAAGGAAGCATTGAGTTTTTTTTATTTGGGTTCTTGGGTTTTTTAATTAAGAAGTAAGAATCAGTATAATGAATATTTTCGCTGAGCTGAATGGCATTATTTTAGAATCATTCATAGATATCTTAAATTTACTTTTTGAGAATCAGTGTTCAGTGTTCTTAGCAAGGTATGCTTTAATGCAGACCTTTGAAGAACAGAATGCTTAGTGCTTTTTTAAATGTAAAAACATGGAATGTTTATTGTATTCAACACAAACTGAACATAGGAAAATGGAGAGCAAATCTTTTTCAAAGTAAAAATACATATGAGATTACACATGCCTCTTACTTCCTCCACTTTTTCATTATGCTGTGTTACCTTTTTTCAAGTAAATGTCATGCTTTTTGAGTAATTATTTTTCAATGAATGTGTAAGCATGTTAGGTTTGTGATCATGACTGCTTCATGTGTTTTCTGACTTTTTCTATTATTTTTTGTCTTTCCCTGTTGAGTGTAAATGGGTGTGTATTTAGTTGAGTTACACTGGTTTCATCACTGTAAAGCAAATTTTTTTCAAAAACAGGCATTAAAGGTAACACTCTTCTTTGGTATTCTATCCTCTTTCTGTATTTTACCTGGTTTTGTAGCTTACATTAGCCAATGTAAGGTATTCTGCTTCAGGGCATTACTTGTAGAGAGTTTCGTTTTCCATTTAGTAGTCATTGCTGTCACAGTAAGTATAAATATCATTTTGGGAAGTGTGCTTCTGTTGATTTATATTTTCTCTGACCTTTTTTTTTTCCCCTCCACAGATTAAATTCGACAGTGATGGTGTCTGTGTGTGCTGTGAAATGCAGCATCAAACGTCAGGCTGCAGTAACCTGGGAGAAACGCTGAAACTGAACCCTCTGCAGGAGTGTAATGTTGTGAGGCTGACTCTAAAGGTGTGTTAAGAGAGGAATTAACATTTATTTCAGTTTTAACTAGTGATTACTTAGCAAGACAGATGTGATGAAAGGACTAGCTGGTGTTTGCTATGTTCATACACTCTTACATAAAAAAAAAATCTTCAATCAACAGAAATTAATGCTTCTGTGCATTAAAATGGTTTTATGTTACACACTTAATATCTGTATAGGTAGCTATTTTGTTGGAGGTTGTTTAAGAAACAGAAGTTAGAATTAGTTAATGATGGATGCTGGAAGGTATCTTACGAACAGGTATCTTTCATGTTACTGTTAAAGAAAGCTAGAATCAGAGGTGGTGATTGATGTTGTTTAGTAGTGTCATGGTAGATTGCAAAGAGATAATGAAGTGCTTAACGATGCACTGCCAACACAAAGTATTAGCAGTGTTTCAGATGGAAGTTACTTTGGGCTAGAATAGTAAGTGTTCTTTTGGGACAACACTGGAAATATGTTTATAGACTGTTCTGCAATATTATAAGAAGTTAAAATTCTGTAGAATTGTGTTTTACCACTACCTAGAGAAATCTGAGAGGAAATACGAAGAACATTTTACGAGTGAGTTATATCCCAGTGTAATTGCCCACATCATCACTTCATTGTCAGGTGTGATGTTACAGTGGTGTTACAGTTACAGAAAATGGTAAGGGATCCATTCAAGAACTGGTTAGAGGAAAGTGCCCTAGCCTGAGAGACAGATATGTCTCACAAAACTATCTCTGCATCCACAGCTCTCAATTTCAAAGTATGTATTTTAGTAAAGTTAATTGAATATAATGGAATAGGAATATAAAGTATATAATGAATGAAGTATAATGAATAAAAGTAGTGAAATTCAATGTGATAAGTATCTTAGATATTCAGACTATGTGAGGCCTAAAAATACTAAGTTATATTGATACTGGAACCTGTTCAGAGCAGGTAGAAATCCTGAAAAGGTATAAAATGAATATCTAAATGTTCTTCAACTCTGTTAAGGAAAATTAAAAAAAAAAAAAAAAGGAAAAATATTACTGAGTAATAAGGATAAGTTAGAAACAGGAAAAAATATAATGACCCCAAAATTAAGAGCTCTGACCCAGGTTTTAACGAGGATGATAAAGAGCAAAACCCTATTGTGTAGCAGGAATTTAGCAGGTGGAGAAGAAGCATAACTTGTCATTGTTGGTCAAATAATAATAATAATAAACTGCTACTCAAAATGCTAAATTCAGGACTGTATTCAGCGGTGCAGTTTCAGCGAAATGTGTTATAAGAAGGTAATGCAGGAAAAGAACTCAGAAAGACATTCTTCAAAATATGACAGATGCAAAACCATGAACCTGTCACACAGAAAAAGCTGACTTGCTGATCCTATAAAAAAAAAGATTGAGGGAGCATATGGTTGTTCACTGTAAATATGTCAGTAGAGTAAACTTCAATGAGAGAGAAAATAACTGTTTATCTTTGAGGACATTGTCAGAATATGAAATGAGTAGAAGTGACATATGCTGGAAATCAGGGTAGGGTTTCTAACCAATACAGCAATAAGAATAGAAGCACAAAATATAATTTATTTTAAAATGTAGCTCAATGATTTATAAAAGGAATTGATGACATGTCTGCTTGCACTAGCGAAGGACTGATTTAAGCACAGGAGTTCCTCTGGGCATAGTCTGAGTGCAGATTTAATTATGTTCAGAATTTTTCATTTAAGAGAAAATAGTTCAGAAAATAACTTCTTCAGAAACTTTCCTTTAACTTTTTTCAGTTTTAATTCTACATTTGCTTTCTATTTGGCTTTGAGAGCTCTGTATTCCTGGCTGCATATTTAAGAACAGCATCCTACTAAGCCCATAAGAAAAAAAGATGGCAGCTCATTAGGTGGCAACTGTGGGAGCTGCATTGTGAACAGAACAATTGTGCATGTATTGCCTGTCTGGTCTTGCTCCCAGTCAGTCAAACAGGACAAGGAAAAATAACAGTGGGTACCAGTCTTGTGTATGCTAAATTGTGCTGGGATCATGCCTTGCATGATACTGGGTGATTGGGGTTTTTTTAAGGTTGCTTTGAAAAAATTTCTAAGTTTTTTTTTTTTTCATTCATTTTTGCCATCTCTGCTCTGATCTCTTTATGCTGCTTTGTAAATTAATATGTGCCTCTTCCTTTCAAAGTCTGAATCTGCAATATCTATCATCACATATATGTACACAACAGATATGAATATAGATTGCAAAAGCTGACTGAATGTGATCTGTGAGATAAGGGCTACATTGAATGATTACTTGAATATTGAAATTTGAGCACAAAATTTTATGTTACAGTAAAATGGATAAAAATATTAAGCTATTTCACTGTTATGTAAGAATTGGGGGCTCCACCCATTTCAAGGACAGTGAATTGGTGAGTTTAGAGTTCTATTGATAAGATACAATACCTGCAGCACATCTCCAGTAAAAATAGCACATTTGCTTGATGTGACAAACTACCATTAAGATTTGCAGACACCAAAGTCTGATCCATCTACTCTGTTTTACAATTGAGAGACTCAATGGTTATTTTTTTCCATCAGAAGATGCATTTTCTGAATCGTTTCCTGAGTTAATAGCTCCTAAACTGCCCCTGAAAATAAGGTTCCTGGCTTTCTTGTTACTCAGGGTCAATATTCTGTGCTGCTAAGGAATGTTGGTGCCTCAGTTATGTTAATTTTAACAGTAATTGCACTTGTAGGACAATTTTGCCCTATGTTGGGAAGTTACCTGACTTAATTCAAGCCAAATTAAGGTAAAAGCATATCCTTTCTATATACAAAATTAGCAAAAAGAGTAAGAAAGGCTTGTTAGGAATAGTCTCATTTCTGTACATCTGATGGCCTTAAGGTGCAGTTTCACTTGCATCAACTTAATCTGCTTTCCACAGGGCTGCAACCAGAAGGGGCAGTTCTGTATCTGGCTGTTTGCTGCCAGTGAGTTTGGTGGTTTGAATTTGACAGTGATCCAGTCCAAAACTACACTGCGTCCACACTGAGCTTTTAGTGAAGGCCATGCTGCACTAAGATCTACACTTTTCTCTGTCACACAGCTCTACCTTTGGGATTACTGAGATTCCAAATCTTCATCTGCCAGAAGAATGTAGTGAAAGGCTATAGCCAAGATGCCAAGAGGAGCATCTGCTGGTCTCATCCTTCCGAGTTGTCTCTTTCAACAGCAACATTCACTCTTAGATTGAATTAAGCTACTGTGTTAGCCACTTTATATGCTGAACTTCATATCTCATACCAGGCAATAATGCAAATCAAGATGCAGACTTCAAAGGAACACTGATGTATGTACTGCACTAGACACTCCTGCCAGTTGAATGCTAGGTCCAGCTTCATGAATGTGAATGGTAATGAATGTAGGCAAACTCTGGTTTAAGGAAATTTTGTGTTGATAATCAAATATAAGTGATGGTTTTACAAATTTATGAGGGGTTACTGTTATACAAGGAAATTTGCCTCAGGACATCCGTTTTAATATTTAATGATTTTTGAGAAATCATTTTTATGGGATGAAATAATAGAAATAATTAGTCCTCTGCTACTTACATTTTATACAGATGTTCTTTTGTATTAGGAACTGAGGTAAAGACAAAATTATTCTTACAGTAAAGAGAGAACTTTTTCACTTACAGTAAAGTTCCTAAAAGAAAAATACTACCTGGAGCATGAAGCTATGGTAAAATGTTTTATTTTAGCAATACATAGAGTGCCTTACCTTACAACTATTTGAATCCTGAAGAACTTGGTATTTTATATTCTTGAGAGATCCAACATAAGAAAACTCTTGGATAAAACATTAAAGGGTTATTATTTAAATATCTGAAAAAGTCACTAGAGATCAGTTGTTTGCCAGGACCAGGAGTTTTTTTGCAAATAATACTGTGTAACTTTAGCTTATCTTGTGCTTGGAAGCAGCTGAGTATTTTTTTCACTTTCTGAGAACTTCAGTTGAACTCTTCTTGCTCTTACCTTCTGTCCAAACTAGAGAGGAGTGATTCTAATGTCTAAAGTAGAAGTTTGTGGCCAAAGGTGCCAGGGTTCATGGACCACTAAGGCAACTGTGAAAGAGGACCGAAATACAAACCTGTTATACATAGGCTTGAATTAATTAAAGATCTGAGGCTCCACTAGAAAATTTCTTAGAGACTCATAAATTGATGAAGATTTAAAAGCAGTGTATTAGATAAAACTGCCAGTCAACTTAGCCTTGGTTTTCTCAGCAGTGTATTACTTTCTTGACTGTCTGTCAGTCATCTGATATTGCTGTTCAAGTTGGCTTTTATTTGGGTAAAACCAGAAAAACTGCAGGATGGTAAATCTTATTTTTACATACACACACATGTATGTAAACAAACATGCCAAGACCTAGTTATAAAACTTTATCAGCTCTGGTTCATATTACTGATTATACTTCAGGCAACAAGCAAAGTCTTTTCCAGGATGAGACCAGTATGAGTGAGATGCCTTTTTTTATCAGCATTACCTCTTGAGTAAGCATAAACTGCTGACACAGTACCCTCCACTGAATGTGTTTGTTTCTAGATGAAATGTGAAGGATCTGAGTTTTTCTTGTCATATTAATTAAAACTTGGGGATTGAATTTTCCTGGCAGCTCTAATCTGTGGAAATTCTTCCTTCTTTCCAAGCTCAGAATATTTACATATATGATATATTTATATAAGTATAATTATAAAAGACATGTGCAACAAATCTTATCTTCTTGAGATTGTATTTTGAGAGGATGAAGTTAGGTGTTTAGAAGATAAAATTATTTCATAATTATTTTTACTGTCTTTTTCATGTAAGAGGAGAATGTTATGATGCTTTGGATTAGTAATGATCCAGTAGGATATTTTTAATTACTTGAACACCCCAGAATACCTGCAGTCATGTATACTAATTTATGAATTTGCTATTTAAATAATTGCTCCCTACCTATTTAAAGTGCTTCTGTAGAATG